TACAACAAACCTTTTCTTCAAAAATCTGAAAATTTGAAGTCTGAAATCTTGAACCAGAACTTGGACTATACATTTTTAAAAGATGAACTGCAGCTGCATAGAAAATTGAATAAAGAAAACACATGAGTAGTTAAAAAATCAAACACACAGGATCCTGAAAAACACATCTTACATTCAATCACCTAAAAAAAACCCCCCATAAAACATATGAAAACTGACTGTAAATATTAAAACAACACCTCAATACCTTAACATCTTAATAATAATTCTTATCACAAAAATCAGACAACTTACATTATATGACCAACCTATTAACAAGAAATGTTTAAAATAGTTTCAAAGCATTCATATAACATTAGTAACAATCACTACTTATCATTACCTATAAAAACTTGACAATTATTATTTATCTTATTATCTATAAAAACTCAAAAACAGAAATTGTGAACTCAATGCCAACATTCCATCTGACTAACTTTTCTCAAATCTTTGTTTTCAAAGACATTTTTAGCAATTAAATCATTATTAACATTTCTATCTTTTTTTTTTTTTTTTACAGTAATTTTCATCCACATTGTATTTGAAATAACTTTGATTTGCATAATGTCCATCCCTCTTGGTTTCTTGGAAAACACTCAGTACTGCTATACTTTTTCATTACGTCTTTTGTTTCCTTGTGTTGTTGCTTGATAAAGCAGCTGCAATGATGTGTCCTTGTTGTTCAATTGCATCCTGGATGGTTGCGGCGAATGCCGCAGCTTGGTTGCTCTGTTCTGCGCGTGTGGCTCTGACAAGCATCTCATCGACTGGACAGCCCTGAGGGAGGGTGGCTAGGATGGTTCTGGTGGGTGGGTTAGCATTCTCAAAAGCAAGGGATCGGAATAAATGTTCCTGAACGTCTGGTGGCACGTCAGGTGCATCCTTTAAAGCAGCTGACAGCCTATCAATAAATTGTCCAAATGGTTCAGTGGCTCCTTGCTTTATGGTGGCATAGGATGCTGACTTTTTCTTGTCCGGTACCAAAAGCAAAGCTTGATGAGCCAATTGCTGTGACAATTGATGTATTTCAATAGGAAAGGTAAGTTGCACCTGATTGGTTGCATATGGTCCCTGTCCAGTCAGCATATCTGGCTGGACTCCAAAAAAGGGGTCTCCCGCATCTGTGTGTTTGTTGGCCTCCTCAACTGCCAACCGTTTCCATTCCCTTTCAAACATGAGGAATTGAGAAGGTGTCAGAAGCAGGGATGCAATGTTAGACGAATCACTAGGACAAAGCACATCTGCTGTGAATATATACTGAATGATGTTCCTGGCTGCTTCTGATCTGATCCCATAAGTGGTGACTGTCTGCTTAGCTGATTGTAGGATTTTCCAGTCATGGGGCTCCCAGATGGCATTCCCATTAGACACTATAACAGGACAAGCCAGGGAGCTGGCAGCTTTCCAGTCACCGTCTAAAAGAGCATCTTTCACAACTGACGCCCATCGGGACTGCAAGGGATTTTTTAAAACTGCTGGCGATGCCAATTGCTGGCCAGTGGAAGGTTCCACTGCTTGAACCTGACGATTCGAAAGGGTGGCAAGGCGGGCTATTTTTTTCTGCAACGTATTTGGTCTTTGTATCTTGTTCTGTGATCGTGTGTCCCTGCTGCAATTGACGACCGGAAAGTCTGGCTCTGAGTCGTCAGAATCTGAACTCGGTGGGAGTGGGCAGTGCCGCGCCACGGTGGTGGGGTGGGAACTGGCATTTTCGGGGCTCTGCTCTGGTGTTGTTTGGGTGGCTACTTCTGCCACTCCGCTAGCATTGGGGTGTCCAGCCCCTCCAAACCGTGCCAGGCTGCTGGCCGTGGCCGCGGCCGCTGGCGGGTATCGGCGAGCCGCTCCTCTGCGTTTGCACGCACCGGTGGCAGCCGCCGCCGCCGCCGCTGCGGGGGGGCGAGGGGCCGGCGCCGCCTCGCTCCCGTCTCCGCCCTGGTCTCTGCCTTGATCTCCGCCCCTGAGTTCCTCCTCCTGACTCAGCCCTGTTTCATCACCAACTCCGCCTGCCTCCTCAGGTGTCTCCCCGCCTCCCAAGGGACCCGGGAGGGCCACTTCCTGGTCTGCCGCATTTCGCGAAACCGCCGAGCTGTTAACATCCGCTGCTCGTGAGCACACTTCCGCTCCGGGCGCGGCCGCATCCCCGCTCCGTCTCGCGCCGGCCAGCCCCACGCTGCCCGGCTCCGTGCCGCCCTCCAAACGAGCAACAACATCTCTGACAGAGGGGCTGACTGGGGCTTTCTGCCCGCGCACTGGCCGCATATTACAAACATTAAAGAATTTTTCAACCCGCGATGGCTTTCGCGTTTCTATTTGTTCTGCTGTGGACTGCTCAAATGCTCGAATGGCAGCTTCTGCTGCCTCTTTCTCCGCGGCCATGCTCTGTAAGGTATGTGAAACTTTCTTCCAAACACCTCCAAGCTCTAATAGTGTTTTCTTGTCCTTTTTGCCCTCTATCACTGCATCCCAAAGCAGCTGCCCCAGCTCTTGCCATTCGGTTTCACTAAAAAGCAGGGAAGGTTTTTGCAGCTTGCCTTTGCTTCTTGCCCAAAGGACCAACTGTTCTAAATCGGCTTCTTTAACTTTTTCAGCTCTCTTTGAGAGAATATGAAAGAGCAGCCGCACTGAAGCCTGTAAATCTCCATCCATGGTGAACTTTCACCCTCTCTTTCTGTCCGCGGCTTACCTCACCTCCGCGGGCTGCTCCGCTCTCGCTTTTCTTCGGCAAGGCAGCAGCTCCCGCTCCAGCTCCCCGGCCTCGGCCACGTCCACCCCCGCCGTTCGGGTCTCTTGTGAACGCCGAGGTCTTCCCAGTGCTCCACGGACTCTCGCAAACAAACAACAATGCGAAGAGTCTTTTTCCTCCCGTTGGGAACGGCCCAATTCGGAGTTTGGAGACTTCTGCTCCGTCCCACTTGACCCCCGTTCACAAAAAGTGAATTTGGGATCCCGGTCCCGTCACCATGAGGCGATTTGGACCTAAATTTCTGTCGCGCGACTCAAACCTGACTGCCTGTTACTCTAAAAGTAATTTGGCAGCCTTTTCGGAGCCTCCTGAGTCCCTGTGCGGGCGCCACTTAAAGCCAGGGAACCTCAGGGAAACGGGAAACTGGACAAGACAAACGCACATCCAATCAATATGATTAATGCAACGTTCTCCGTTTATTCAAAATCAGGCGGTAGTTTATATATGCTTCTACATAGTTTACAGAAACAAAGACACTCTGATTGGTAGGCTAACATTGTTTACCTTTTCCTTAAAACGGCCTACACTGTACACCATAAAACCTATACTAGTTCACACCCGGTGGTCCCTACAATACCTTAAGACTATTTTCTATCTGCGCCACAACCTCTGAATTTCTAACTGCGTCAGAGGCCTGAAGGCCCCACCAGGCCTCAATCTGAGGCCTAGCCTGGAGTAGCTCAACTTTCACAATTCATGCCCTCTTTCTCTCAAAAATGCTGCAACAAAATTGTGAGAAAGTCTTAATGCTTTTAGGGAAAACCTACAGAACTAGTTCTCTATTGTGGCTATTAAATACTTCAGTGCTCTGCAAGTTGAATTTCCTTACCCTCTTCTGTCACTATAGGACACCTGAAAGCACGACGCCAGCCGCTGCTATTGCAAAGGTGAAAAAGAGGAAGTTTATTTTCTGCTCTAGCATTTATATTTTTCTAAAGGTGAGAGTGGATTGGAGGATGAATGTGCCACCTCTCCAATGACATTGGATAAACTATTAGTACATTAAGTTTCTCCACTTCTATGGAGGAATGCAAAACAATAGATTGTTTACAGAAAGTTGTGTGAGAAAGTTCTCTACAAGAATGTAAACTCAGAAGGCTTTAGAAAATCTTAAAAATCAGAACAACACTCTTCTATTAATATCACTCTAGCAGTCATCGGACTTGTCAGTGAACCATTCTAATTAATAATCTGGTAAAGATTAATGCTACTTTGAAAAAAAAACCAAACCAAAACAAAAAAAAACCCCGAAAACCACAAACCCTTAAACCACATCAGAGCAGTGGGTGGCTTTCTGCTGGTTAGTGAGATATCCTAGCTCAGCAAGGGTTCTGATGAACACCAGCAAGAGGTGGAAGAAGTGAAGCCTCCTCTGGAGTGGGAAAGTGTTCACTCTACTCTAAAGATTGAGGAATTGTGAAATACAGGAGATACAATCTGGCGTCTCAGCAAAAGATTTGGTAATCTGAGCAGACCAACATTACAGTCATAGGAATTAGAAAGGTACAACTACCCTGACACCACAATTTACCATTGCACAAAAAGGTAACTAGGAAAATCTTTTTCTTTCCCAACATGACCTCTAAATGCAATTCTCTAAAATGTCATGACTAGAACACGATGAAAAATTCAGAGAGGCTCAAAACTGACTGGAAAGCTTATACCTCTTCACATTATGAATTTGTTTGCATTCCTTTTCTAAGTTTTAGTAAAGAAATCTCTGTGTTTTCACCTCACCTCTTTGGCATCAGGTAAGTCTGCCAGCACTAGGTACTAAAATAGATATAAACACAGGACACAGTTCTGCTCTAATTCCAAGTTCTTCAGTTGAGTATCAAACCTGTGACTGCACTAGATTTTGAGCCTGGTAACATTGTCAGTTCTGCAAACATTGTTTCAAATTCATTTATGTACACACACTTCATTATTACCACTACTAGATGATTATGTCAGAGAAGAATCTATTGAAAACATGGCATTTTCTGTTATTTCTTCATTTCACTAATCTTTTAGGAGTATCAACTAGATCATTTATGTACATCGTCATCACTGCAGCAAGAAGACAGGAAAAGAAGTAGACCTATTTTTGTAAAACAAAACAAAGTTCATTTTCTAAAAAAAAGCTCAAACAAACAAAAAAAAGCCCAAATCCAACCAGAACATCCCAAAACCTCAAACCCACCGAAATGAAACCTCTTTGTCAGTTTGAACCCAAAAACATTTTTAAGATATTTTAATTCTCTAGCACAAATCACATTTCCACACAAAGAATTCACGTAATCATTAGGGTTGGAAGGGGCTTCTGGAGATCATCTAGCCTAGCCCCCTGGCCAAGGCAGGGTTATCAAAAGCAGGTGACACAGGAATGCACCCAGGCAGGTTTTGAATCAGGTAGTCTCCTCTAGAGAAGGAGATTTCAGAACCTCGTCAAGAAGTTCTTGCTGAAATTTAATTCCTAATGAAAAGTAAACAAAGCGGTCAGGTACAGACGTTCAAACACCGGTATAGTTTGTCACAGCACAACAGCTACAGAAGCAGCAGACTCTTCCACTTTCTGACAGCATCAAGCAGAACAGGATGACTGGAGCTGATCCCTGGGGAAAGCTGAGCAGCTGCGATTTTGGTAACAGAGAGGAAATTCACTGCCCTCACTCACCTTTGCGCCAGCCACACTACGCCGCTCTGGTCGGCTATTTCACTATCAAACCCCCACTTTTAGACCCAAGTTAGCTTCAGCAATGTTATTTTTCGTGAACACCACAGTGACCTCCTCAGAAATCAGAAGCCGTATTGATTACGAGCACTTTTTTGTAACCCAAAACCCCAGGAACACATCCCGCGCGTTTTATTCCCCGCAGAGCCCCTGGAGACGCACAGACACCAAAATGGCACCGACCCTGCGCCCCGCTCCGCCCTCCGCGCGGCGGGGCTGGGTGGGGCCCGCGCAGGCGCGCTGCGCCGGGGGCCGGCCGCGCGGCCGCTCCACTGACGTCAAAACAACTCGCGACGGCGGCCGCGGTTGTGGCCGAGCGGCTCCAGGTGTGACGCGGATCCCGGTGTCCCGCCCATCCCGGACCGACCGGCGGTGAGAGCCCTGCGGCGGGGCTGCTTCTTCCCCCGCGGGGTGCCCGGGGGCGGTGCCCGCGCGTGGCCCGCGGTGGCGGCGCGACCCCAGCCCGGCCCTGCCCGCGGGGGCTCTCTGGGCGCTGTGGCGGGCACGGCCGGGAGGGAAGGAGGGAAGTTAAGGGATGTCTCCGGCTTCCCGCGGGGATGAGGGCTGTGTTTTCTAATCCCAGTACTGCTCTCTTCAGCGGACGTAACACAAAACTTAAAGACGCTTCTCGGTTCTGCGTGCGGGAGAAACCAGTTCAAGTTTGGCGCGGGGGGGAGCACGGAGCAACTCCCTCTGCTTTCGAGTAATTGTGCCTTGGTAACCATTAGTAATCAAGTGATGCAATATCACTTAGTTCACATGGGCTTCATCTCAGCTTACTGACCAGTTTTTTTATTGCTTTCCAAGATCTTCTTGGACGTCCATCAAATTTCACATTTCGAATTATGGAGGGAGAACAGATTATGGAGGGACAGCCACAGGTATTACAATAAATGTTTTATGTGCATTATGTTACATGTGTAAAAGGAGAATTTTAGCTTTGCTAACCATATGTTATTTTACAGGTTCTGGAAAATCCTCATTCTGAATATGGCCTCACTGAAAATGTAGAGGTAACAAAGATTTTGTTGCAGTGGAACTCACATTTGTGATTACGGGAAAAATGTTGACTCTTGAGTCTAACTTCAGAAAATGTGATGTTCTCAACGGAGCTAAGCAATACCTGTCCCTGGGGGAAATGGCTGTAAATATATTTTCTGTTTTGCTACTTCCATTGTTCTAAATGGTACTGAAGTAAATAATGAGCCTTTTAATAAGTCGGGATTTTTTTTTTGGAAGTATGGTTATTATGTGTTCTATTGCTATCTATGAGAGATATAGATATATATTATGACACAAAAAAATCCATCCACATTAGGCTCAACCTATGCTGAGTAGACTGGGAGAGTCACTTCCTAACTCCATGGCATTTATTACTCTTCTTATTAAAGAAAAGTCTTCAGTCTCCCTTTATTATAAGTTCCTACTCTGTGCTAAGCTTTTGCAGAAGCAATTTTAAAACATATTTTGGGACTCATCTCTCTGATAACTGCTTTTCTCTATGCCTCAGCTTCCATGGTTCCGACAGATTCATAACACATTGGTCCCGTGCCAGTAGATTCATGTACATTGCACTGAATACATTTGGTTTACTGGCAGTGGGAGGGTATCACTTTTCAATTACAGTTAATGGTGTGAGATGATTCAGCACTTTTTGATCTAAAAGTACCTGGAAGCATTTTGCATGTTTTCTTTGAAGTGTCCATGTATACTTCAGTACACTCACAAAGTACTTGACTTTAGCAGAGTCCCCTTTGTCAGGCTTTACCTGAATTCCTTGTGCTTTTACCATTTTGTGTTAGAAGCACACATGTACAGGAGCCATCTAAGAGACTCGTTGGTAAGCATTCCTGTCTTAGTGGTGTAGAGTTCAGTGAATGCAAAAGCTGAAATAAAAATGGGATTGGATGTCTTCTCTTGTAGAAAACTTACAACTTCTAAACAGTGTTTCCCCAAAACATAGGAATTTAACAGAAGTTCCTCTGGATTAGGTTTTTGTGGAAGGAAGAATATGCACTTAAATATTCTTAAAAGATGTAAAGAAATTATTGCCATTGAATTGCAGAGATGGGTACTTTGCACACACACTTCAAAGTAGATGTGGCTGCTATTACCTTATACCTTATTACCAATGTTCATTCCCTTTTTTTTTTTTTCTTTTTTACTTCAGAGGATAGTAGAAAATGAGAAACTAAATGCCGAGAAAACATCAAAGCAGAAGGTGGATCTTCAGTCATTACCCACACGTGCCTACTTGGACCAGACAGTTGTACCTATCTTGCTACAGGGACTTGCTGTTCTTGCAAAAGAGAGGTAAGATGCTTCTGTGATCCTTCTGTTCCTAGGAAAATGTAGATCTCAAACTTGGGCACTGCAGCACCTCTCAGGCCTCACACACCAAGTATGGTGTTGTTCTTTGTAAGGTCATCATTATAACATGTTCATGAACCCATGAATTACTGTGACTGACCATGCAGGATGGGTTCCTCACTTAGGCACACATGGCACAACAGAAGTTATTTGTTGAATTCATGCTCTCCCAATGAGGTATGCTACTGCAAAAGTTTTAGAGGAAAAAACGGGAGGGGTTTTGTTATTAATTTTATCACGTAATTTACCTTAGAGAAGCAAGACAAGAGGACATTCTGTAGTGTGGAATTATAAACGGTTCTGCTTGACATTTAAGAGAAGGAAAGACAAATCAGGCATGACATGCATCTTTGTCAGAGATTAAAATACTTTCTAAAGGGTGTGGCTGAGCCTGCACTGTCAACAGAGTAAGAAGCCAACTAATGGTTTATCCTCCAAGTAAAGATTATGCTGTTGAGGTGCCCCAGCTATCTTTACCAGTCAGTGTAGAAAGGTATCCTTCAATAACAGCAAACAGGTGTTATTCTTAAAAAATCTAATTTCTAGCCTTTTGGTGTGTTCTCACTAGTGGCAAATTGTACTGCGTGCACCATCTCTCAAATTGAAATAATACAATCAAAAGCTGGTGTAGATGACCATAATTGTATCATGGCATCTACAGTCAGAAAAAACATCAACGATGTATGAATTTCAAAAGGAGTTGGGAATTTAAACTGCAGTGTACAGACAGTTAATTAAGCAAAATTAGGCACCCATGTGCACACCTGAGGGATGTGCAGATCTTCAGCTGACATCAGTGGGAATTCTGCTGCAGACTCAATGTAAAACACAGCCCAAGGTTAATACCCCACCCTTACACTCTGAATACCTGTGTAATAAAAAATAATTGCTTTTGATTTACTTTTTTTTTCTTTGCAGACCACCCAATCCCATTGAATTTCTAGCAGCATATCTTTTAAAAAACAAGTCACAATTTGAGGACCGAAATTAACTCCATAAAAATGAGGACAGTTTGGCTGCTAGACTTGAAATGCTTATTTGCTGCAATTTGTTTTCTGCTGTAAAAATCCTTTAGCCATGTTGTTGTCTTTCTTAACTGCACAATTTGCTTTATATTTTGAGTTTATTTAATAAAGAACACATTACATTTAATTGTTCTCTTGTTTTAAACTAGCTATTAAGAGATTTTCAAAATAAAGTACTGAAACTGCACTACTGGATGGAAGTCTGAATAATTCCATGGGGGCTATGTCCTCTGAATGTGTGACATAAAGGGGAACAATTCATTACAAGAATCACATGGCTGACAATTTATATAACTTAACTGGGTTTTATACAGTGCCCTCCAGTGCAACATGCCTAAACAGAAAGCAAACAAATGTAGAACAATTAAAATTTATTTATTAAGTAGAGATAACTTCCAGAAGCCGGAAATGGATTTAGTTAAACGGTGAGATCCGGAACAGATCATGCTCCAGACAGCATCCAGTGTCTCACATAGGTACATTAATGAGGTGTGCTGCTTAGCATTTGTCATTGATCTCCTATGACTGGATCCAGTGGACTGGATTCAGCTGAAACACAGAATTAATTTGGACGTGACGTGTAAGAGTTCTCTAATTCAGCTCTCTGTACTGCTTCCCTTAGTTGAATTGTCTAAAAAATTGCAGGGACTGAGGTCTTGCTTTTAGTCTTAGTAGGAAGGTTCTCACTATTTTACATACATCTTAGTATCTTAAAATAGAAACATTGAATTAGTACAGACTAAGAGCAGTAAGAGTGGGGAACAAAAACTGAAAGAAGCTTGCAAACCCTAAATCAAGCCTAAAAGCTATCTTTTTGGAAAATGTACCAAAATTTGGAAGGAGATTACTAATTCTACTGCATTGTAGTGAACACAGTCTCCATCAAACATTGACACTAAAAAGATACTGAAAGGATTTTAACAACAGTGTTTTGACTTTCTGGAATGAGTCCCCAGTGTCTATGTTGAAAATTTGTGCAAGACCAAAGAAAAAGAAGCAATTTCACTCCTAATCCTCCCCCGACAAAGCAATTTTCTTAGATATTTGTACCTGAATTCAAAATACAATCAGTTTTGTTATCTCACATTAACACTTGTCAAGCAGCTGCACAAAACTTTAAACACTGGCTTTCTGAATAGTTCTTGCATTAACCTGAAATCTCAAAGCATCTGTCTCAGTACTAAGGGAAGCTGTCCCTGCCAGCAGTGTGCCGTCTGGTGTCACTGGTATGTGGTGTCATCTGCTATTATTTTCCCATCTAAGCTAGAGATTTAATTCAAAAGAATGAAAAAGCCATGTTCACACAGTGATGGTGTTAGAAGATTTATTACAGTGGCTTTTCTGGGTAGTCTCTTCTAAGAAATAAATTGCAGTGTGACTAGCAGCAGTGAACTCACCACTCTAAGAATTAAATCTTAGTAATCCTTGTGAAGGTATGACAAGTCAACAAGATAAACACAACCATTTTCCATTACTTGTCAAATTGGTTTTACCCATTGTGATCTTCTGCATAGAAGATACTCTGTAACAGGAATAAGTAGCAAGTTAATACCTGTATTATCTAGTTTTTAGTTACAAAAGTAATTATAAAGCCTGAATTTTAAAAGCATTTACTTGTTTTAAACTCCACTACAAAACAATGAAAATTCTGTGAAGAGACTTGACAGATACTTGCTATCCCAATTTAATCTAGAAAGTGTTACTGTTTTTCCACAGGAAATAACAGTTCTGAAAGCTTCAAGATAAATTGTATTTAATTTTGAAATACAAATACATTTAGAGTAAAAGCTTGAAGAAGTACTTGAAAGTGCAACCTTAGGTTATTTTCAGCTAAGTAGCTGAAAGCCGTTATTTTGTTTAATTATTTTTCTCATGTTCACTACCCCAGGTAGCGGAGTATATATATGCTCCAAATGGCAGTAGAATTGAGTAGATAATAAAATGGAATACCTAGTTTACTTGACAACATGCCTTTCAAGATTACTATTTTAGATCTCCAATATCCAGAAGTTACTACTCAGTAACTGTGAAAGAATTATATATGTGTCATATGTCATATTTTGAAGTGTGCCTTTTTAACTGCTTCTACTGAGAACATTGTCATTTACCTGGAAGGGAACAATGACAGAAGAAAGGATTTCCAACTAAAAGCAATTCTGATCAAAGATCAAATATCTTTCTATTCTGAAGCCTGTTACCACCTAAAATTACAGTTTGACTTGCCAAATCCTGTGGGGTTTTTTTTGCTCCTCTGATTTATCAAGGACTGTCTCCAAAATCAGTATCTTTGAGCAATCCATTTTATTTTCTGAGGTGCTGTCACCATTGTAAAAGCAGTCTGATCAGAGAAACTTTTCTCTCCCCATCAGACTTTCTAGAAATAAAAGACCTGCCTTCAAACAAGTGAAAAATCTGAAAAATTCTGAAAGATACAAGCAGTTGAAACACGTAGGTTGGAAGGGAAACATGAGAAAAATTCCTATGCCTACCATGCTTAATAGAGTGGAGGTTTTGATATATTCTTATCATTGTACTAATTACATAACAAAATATTCTTAGCCAAACCTTAGCTTGTGTTCCCTATGCCATTTCATAGTCAGGATTTATTTTAAGAGTGACTACATAGCATAGATCACAGAAATACAGAATGCCAGCTGTTAGAGAAAGGGGCATTTTACCATGATGAAAAGTCTGTCAGCACCGTTTCTGCCAATGTTTGCATTCAAATATTTTTAAGCAAGGACTTCAAATGTAAATGTACCATGAATAATTATGTGGCAGTTTACATCAGTGCTAGTGCAACACTGACTAGGAATGTGACATATTCCTATTCCAAATGTGCTTTTAGCTCTCGAAGTTTGCTTTGCAATTGTGTGTAACAGACCTCCTTTTCCAAGAGGAGCCTAAATTGATAAAAGACTGCTGGGTGGTTGAGAAGTATTTACAAGATGGATAATTACCTACTGATATTATCTCAGATGCTCTTATGTTGCACAGGAAGTGGAGATATTTCCCTTGTTAAGGACTGTGAAGCTGGGAGTGAGGAGGGGGTGTCTGCTTTTAACAGTAGAAGGAAGGACTGGTAGGAACAGCAGGTTCCTCAGATGCAGAACAACAGTTTGTAAATAGAAAAACCTAAAGTAACAGTGAACAGCTTCCTGAGAAGGGAGGGGACAGGAAGAGAGCACTGTGAAAAACACCATAGGAAAGAACCACGTGTAAGAAGATAATGAGAGCAAAAACCAAGAAAGCAGCAGACCATGAAAGCTGGGTCAGCTGAAAACTTTCCATCCCAGCTGGTCACAGGGTGTTACTGAAGAAAAACCCTGCAGGCTGAGGACACTTGCCAGTGCCTTCATGCTTTTCTTCCAGGTAAGGAACAAACTGCCAACAGACACACATGTGCAGCAGAGGTCTGTGCTTTAAGGGTGTGCAAACTTGGGGGATTGTCCATGCATTGTGTCAGCTCTCTCCTGCATGTCAGAGAAAAATGACTGGAATAACAGCTCGGAACTGTTAAGTGCTCCCATTACTGTTCCCCATACAAACAGTGCTTGGAAGAATTGTATATGAAGTAGGATTATCTCCCAGCCTAACCCATGCTTCACATCATTCCACTGAAAGCTCAGCCTAGTTTCTCTGTTTGTGGCTAGAACATTTCCATACTCCGTGTCCTGAGCACCAAGAGGCCCAGTACTGCCATCGGTGGGATCCCACCCTGTGGAAAGGGACCCAAACGGATCAAGTCCAACTCCCAGCCTTGCACAGGACACCCCAAGACTCACACCATGTGCCTGACAGTGTTTTGCAAACACTTCTTGAAGAGCTGACTGCTTTTCTGTTTCTGCCTCTTCCTTTTTCAGGTGGTACTGAGGGAGCACATCACCGGCCCTTACACAGACAGTTGATGATCAGGAGAGGACAGTTACCAACAGGAATCCACAGCTCACTAAACACTGCTCAGTGGTATTGGGACCACTTATGATAGGGTACAAATTAATATCCTACGGTCACCCTTAGCAGTGAAAATGACAGAAGTTGCTTTTGTAGTGTAATGGCTGACAAGCTTTGTCAGGAACAAGCAAAATCTGGAGGACGTTCTTCAGCTTCCATGGGCTCTGGACTGACAGTGCTAATTGATAACAGAGAACGGCAGAGACTCACCTGGCTGGCACAGTGTTTGTGGCACATACCACAATTTAAGAATTAGCAAAAAGAAAGCCTGTGCTTTCTGTGACCTGCTAACACTGAACTGTAGTGTTCCTCTGCATCTACATGGATGCCGTGTTCATGTTACACCCAGTAAAAACTTCATCCTAGTCTGGGAGAGATAAAACTACACACAAGGAAAGAAAGGGTAATGAGGAAAGCAAGGGAGAAGGAAGTTTAAAAAAGAAGCATAAAGAGAAAAGGAATCCAGCCTGTTATATAGCAACAAGAAGAAATATATTTAAGGAATTTTAAAAGACAAGTTGAAGAGTGAAAAAGCACTGCTGAAGAAAGGTAGTTCACCCAGAAGAAAATACCTATAAAATGTTTTTACTTACTAAACCATCTGGATTACTACTCAGAAATTCTTATATTTTAATTTAATTGAAAGGGAAATGCTTAGAGAAAATCAAAGCTTTTCCTCTAAGTGATATAAAATAATACTAGATAATTAAAAATTATGTTTTATAATAAAATGTTCCTCCTAGCAGCCTCTTCTAACTGTTGGTGATGGACTGTGGGACAATGGTGTATCAATAACTTGAATATATTCTGATGTGACCCATTTTTAAAGTATATAATCACAACATGTATTTTTCTCCAGGCAGTAAAATTTATCCTCTGATGAATTCGCTAAATTTATTGAAGGATTAGTTTATTGAAGGATCACTTCAGGAACTACTCTTACTGCTGAAATTTATGTAAACTATTTGAGAGGTACAAATGGGTATCACAGCTACTAATATGGTTTTATGTTAAAACAGTCACGTAGGGTGCCTGTTTCAGTCTAGGTAGCAGTTACAATCTGCATTAACCTTTTTGAAGACACTGTAAAATAAAAATAGAATACTGTAAGGATACGTAGAGCAGTGAAGGCTTCATAAAACATTAGACATTTGCTGGGATAATTGGGGCCCACTTCCTCATGGCTACCGATCAGAAATATTAATTGGAGACCCCAGTCCTTCCTGCCCCTCAGCTGCAGTGGCAAGGCAGTGTCATGGGTGCAGAGGAGGATCCTCACTGATAAAAAGGAGACCTGCCATGCCTGCAGCATGAGCCTTTTTGATCTCCAAGACATACTGAGAATAATGCCTTTGTCCCCTCACTTCGTTTTACTGTAAAAAAAAAAAAAAAATCAAAACCAAAGCAAAACCAAGCAAACAAAACCAAAACAATCCCCCACACCTCCGTATTTTGCACGCATTTATAACTGCCCGGGGGACTTTTCTAAAAATTCTGTGACAAAGAGGGAGGAGGAGAATGTTTTTTCTGACCCGCCCCACATGTGCTCCAACTCACAAAGGCCCAGTCTGCCTTTAAGGCCTTAATGTCTGCAGCCCTTCATCATCTCTCCTGTCGTGGTTTCCTCTCTGCTGCTTACATCTCTCACGTCAGCGGCTCAAATTGCTCTTTCTCTTCCCCTTTTTGTACCGGCCATACTCCCCTTTTCAGTTCTGCCTCTTTAGCTATTTTGAGCCACGCTTGATGTCTCCATGGCAGCAGTCCATTCACCAGATAATAATTTTTAAAATATAAAGGAATGGGGAAGTATTAAGGTGAGAAGAACCGGAGACTTCCACACAGCCATACTCCCATGGCCCTCGCTCCCTGCCACGCTGCCACGGGCGTCACGGCACGGGCAGCGAGGCGTAGGGAAGGATCCTAGTTCGGAAACACGGAGGCCCAGCGCAGCAAAATCCATGTTCCCAAAGATGCCTCTGGGAAATGGGGCCCGTCCCACGAGCCCTCAGCACGCCGAGTGCTCCCCGCGGCCGTGCCGGGCGGACGGGGCGCTGCTCCCGCCGCTCCCCCGGGGGTCTGCCGGCTCCCCCGCCCCGCTCCCCTCACCTGACCCGCGCCCGGAATCTGCCCCGCCACCACGGAGACACGGCCCGGCCAATCAGCGCGCACACCACCCATCACCATGGCAACGCGCCGACCAATCAGCAACGGGCCCACCCACATAGCCCCCGCCCCTACCCCCTCCTCCGCGGGGCGGTGCTACACTTGTCAAACCAGTGGGCGGGAACGGTAGCGGCGAGTGGCCAATCAGGATGAGGCTTTTGCTTTGGTGCCCAATGGGGGCGCGGCGCCCGCGCGGTCCTTAGTCCACGGGAGCCGAGCGGGGTCAAACCCAGCTGCGGCCGCGGCCTCCTTCTCTCCGTGCCCCCCCACCCGCCGGCGCGGAGTTGGCGGCGGCGGCCTCGGGCTCTGTCCTCGCGTCCCCCCTCCGCGACCCCGCCCGGCCCCGCGCCCCCGGCCCGCGCCGCCTCGGCAGCGCCGCCTCCGCCTGCGGGGCCCGGGCTGTGCCGGGGGAGGAGGGGGAGCAGCGGGAGCAGCGCCGCCGCCGCTGCTGCTGCCGCCGCCGTCGCCGCGGGCGGGCCCGTCCCCCAGCGCCCCCCCCGAACACCATAGGCGGCTCCGGCTCCAAGATGTCCAACCGGGTGCTCTGCCGGGAGGCCAGCCACGCCGGCAGCTGGTACACGGCCTCAGGTACCGCCGCCGGGAGAGGGGAGCGGGCGGCGGGGGCTGAATCAGCACTTTGGGGCCGCCGGGGCCGGTACCGGGCGCGGGGAAGGGCCGCCGGCTCCGCCTCCGCCGGCACATGGCGGGCGGGGGGCTGGGGGCTGCCGGGCCCGGCCGCCGGCGGGCAGCGGGCGGAGCTGGGGCGGGGGCGCCCCGAACGCACCTGCCGGCCGCCGCCGTCCCTCTCCTCCCGCCCGGCGACCTGCGGCGGCGCCTCTCGGCGGAACCCGGCGTTTGGCCGTCGCTGGGGATGGATCGCGCCCCCGGCTGCGCCTCGTGTGCCTGCCCTGCCCGTGTCACGGCAGCGGGGCTGAGCCGGCCCGGCGCTGTGCCGAGTGCTGCTCTCGGTCGGAGCACACGGATGGATTTCCCTATTTTCAACTGCTCCTGGGGTTTATTTGTTTTGATATGTTAATTCCGTGAGAAAATACCGCCCGCCTGAGGTTAGAAGTCATGGGTATCATTTGTACCGAGGTACAAATGATACCCATTTGTACCTCTCAAATAGTTTACATTAGTGAAAATAAGGAGGTTTATTTTACTTCTTGTCGAGGTGTGAAAATAGGGAGATTTATTTCTCTTCTTGTAGTCCGAGCAAACCTTCTATTTTTCCTTCTCTAACGCTTTCTTTAGGAGTGAAAAGTTACTAAGCAATAGCGGAGAGTGGCTCCGTCCATTTAAACATGTGGTACTTGGAAGAAGAATAGAAGAAAAACGTGCATTGAAGGGCGAGCTACCGCTCCCCTCGCCCACGCGGAAAAAAAGGCTTGATAGCACATATGTTTGGAGATGAATTTTGTTCGGTTTTGGGGCAGAACCGCTTTTATGAAAAGGATGCACATTTGTCTTTTCAGAGCTGTTAATAAGATTTGTAAGGGATGTTCTTTTACTGGCCCTGGGAGTAAAGATGATTACAAAACTGCAGGTGAATGAGCTTAGATGAACAAGAGGCTGTCGGTAATGAGCAGTTCAGAAGGATAGGGGGTACAATTGAAAATAAACCGAATCAAACAATGAAGTGTTGCATTCAGGATCCTAAATTAACACCTAAGAAGAATTGAATGTGAAAAGTCATACGCTTCTCTTGGCTAAAATAGATGTGGTTTCCCCTCTCTTCCATAAATTGATGAACGAGGTATGAGGCAAAAAATGAAAGGGAAGAGGGTAACACAGGAAGAGGTGGATTGTGTGATAAGTAGCTGGGCTTCAAATGATTGGGTAGGCATTTTGAGACAACAATAGACGATGATTGTTTTCCTTCTGAGCTTAATATTCTAAACATAATTCTTCTGTCTGTTACAAAATTGGCCTCAAATCTTTGTACAGCTTGCAACTACATTTATTTCCAATGATCTAGGAAGGTAGGTAGTACTCCATTTACAGAAAATGTACAAAATCATGTCAAAGGTACAGATCTAACTATGTGCAAAGACATCGACATATCAGAGCTTTGTGGTAATCACCTTGGTCTTGCAATATATATTTTCATTTATGAGTAAGGCAGAAAACTGATCTGTGATATGGAATGGCTACATGACCTTACACACAAATTTTGTAGTTTGTTTGGTATGGACTTCATATCAAGTTATTACTAGATACTTGGAAATAAGAGTTTTAATTTTTAAAAAATAATTTAAGAGGCATGGATACTGTGTTTGACTGGTTTCTTTTTCTGTGAAAATTCAGTACATAATTTAGTTAGACTACTCTCTGGTAAGTGTGTGTGACTAGTTTGACCAGTACTAAGTTGTTTGTAGTAGGACATTCAAAAGCATGTTACTCCCATTGCTTTTGGGCAGCCCTCTGGCAGTTGCTTATTGAGGAAATGTGGGATGGTTGCCCAGACACACTGCATGAAAAAAAAAAAATTAACTAAACTGAATCATGTTGTAATAATGAATTATTACAGCTGTGCTTGTGACAAGTTAAATTGTTACAGTGTGTATGGTGGGGGTAATTGGTTGATGTTGCATAATCTGGGGGTTTTGGAAATGTTTTTTCCTTAAATGAGCAAGGAGTATTATGTGTCTTGCTATAGAACTCTCTTCTGCTGTTTGCACTGGGTATATGAGAGCAGGAATTGCACCTGTTCAGCAAGACAAGGACTACCTATTATTTATTGCTTGAAAGCTCGTTTTTTGTGCCATTTAGGAAAATCCATCAAAACTTGAGAGAAAGCAAATGGGGACCAAGAGGCTATGTGTAATTGTGGATTTAACTTAAAGTCTTCCTGTATTTCAGGCCAGACTCGCATGTCAGCTGCTACCTCAAACTTGTAACGTGGTCTCCTAAATTGTACTACTTGAAGAAAGTAGATTTTACCATGTGTTTTCAGCCTGCACAGCTTCAAGGCTGGAGCTGAGGCAGGGATTAGTTTGAATTGTGATAGTTCTTCAGTGTGTGCCCATGGTTCTCTGGGGATTGTCTTTTCAAGTCCTCCTACCTCCTCCATTCTTCGCGCTACTATCTCAGCCCAGAAGCGATTTGCTGTGTTATATATAAACTGGTTAGCATTTAAGTTTCCCATTTAATCCAAAATGCTCTCTTTCTACAGAGCTGAGTTTGACCACACAGGGTTAGTTGATGCCCTGGCTACCCTCATCCTGCTCTGTAGTTAAGATGACACTCTGAAAGGCTAATGAGAAATGTGATTTTTTTTTTTTAATAGAGACATTCAAAATCTTTACATCTGAAATAATTTTTAAAGGGGTTGAGTGAGGATATGGATTTTAAGTGGTAGAGTATCCTGAGGTGCCTGGTGCCTAGGGCTAAAGCATCAACACACCATCCAGGATGATGCATGACATCCTGAACTTTGGAGGGGGTTTACTGCATAAGTGAAGCACCCATTGCTGTTTTTAAAAAAACAATTCTCTAAAATCTGGCTGTAGAAGTCAGCTCTGGGAAAGAAGGACCAAAGCCAGCTGAGGTGGGGGGAAGACAAAGGATGGATCCAGAATGCAGTCCATTTTCTTTTTTCTTTTGGTCACAGGATATTCTTAAACTGGGTTAGCTGTCTCCTTCACTTTAGGAGTAGAAGTGAGGGCATAACCAAGAGGGAGCTACTACTCTTCATGAATGGTCAATGCAACGTGTGTAAGAGGGTTTGAAAGAAATGCCACTTCTTGTCTTTAGAGGCTGCTCATTTCCATGGGGCAGCAATTGCCTCAGCTAAAAATAGAACATGGCTTCATCATTTTCTCCAGCCATAGGATGTGCACTGCTTAGATTCTGTGTTGGAAAATATAAATGTGCACTCCATTCTAGTATGAATACACCACCTACTTGTATGATGCTAATGAATGCTGTAGAGCAGGTTGGACCGGCTGGGGAATGATGCACATCCAGATGTGTTCACATGTTAGAATATTTCATCTAAGAAAACAACTTTGTATTAGAGGGAGAGTTAGGTCACAGGGAGAAAGCTCACTGCTTCCTACTCAGTGAAGCTGAGAAGGGGGCAAGAAGTGGAAGATGAACTTCACCATGATGTTATAGCACTTGACTTCCTATGTGTTCTTCATTGTGTGCTGTTGTAACAAAAAAAAAAAATCTAAAAATTAAGGTCTTCAAGAAGTTTCAGCAGATGAGTTCAGTATGACAATTTCAACTTTTTTAATTAAAAAATGGTTGTCATCTTTCCCCACACCAAGAGTTCTAGAGGAAAGTTAATTCCTCTAGAATTCCACATTCATGTTCATTCCACATCAGTCAATGCAACATCTTAATGAACTTGAGGTATATACCTCTGGAGCATTTGATTGGCAGCAAACAGAACAGTGAAGTCTGGTCAATTGTTCCTCCTCCTACTTAGCCAAGCTTCCAAACGGAAGCTGTGCTGTGCCTATTGCTGATAGTAGGTCACTGGTCTAAACAACCTTGTTCTTTACTTGCAGAGCTTGATCTGCATGTCTGCTTTTAAAAAAAGTTAATGGTATATGACCTGCCATTGCTTTTGTGGACTACTAGCTTGGTGTATGCTGGCCACTGAAAACATCTGCAAATTTTAGATAAAAGCATACAGTGTAAATAAAAATATCACACAGCACTAGTGTCATGTAGATTGTTTAAAAAAAAAAAATCATCACTCTTTTGTGGTGAAAAGTAGTACACTCACATTTATTTTTGGAAGCAAGTCCCAGTCCTGCTGTGTTAATTCAACTACCTAGTATCCAGATGTCTTGAGAAATTGATTTTTAACCAGCAGGTGGAAGAGGAAGATTAAGTACAACTTGAAACAAAAAAGGCATAATTTTCAATGTCTTTGAATGCAGGTAGACACATTCCTAGATACAAAAGAGCAGATTAAATGCAATGGAAATGTCATGCTATCCTAAGCACGGACTGTATGCAGGATAGGGGTGTTTATTCTTTGATATGAGTAGATTCAATAAGTGCTGGGCAGTTACTGCTGCAGGAAATCAATCCATATGCTCCTGAAATGGGAATAAACATCAGCTATGTGTGTCTTTTTTTTTCCTCTGTAGCATGTCATGACAAGTGGGATGTATTATGGTACTGAAGATGGCTTATGGGCTCACAGCTGGCCTTCTCTGTCTGGCCCCTGGAAGTGCTGACTGAATGCTGTGCTGCTCCTTATTAATGTGTGTGATAAGAGTTCTTGTTTCAACTTTTCCCCAGTCAGTGGCATGATCATGCAAGTAAAACATAAAGGCTTTTAGTAGGCTCTTCCAGGTCACAGGAGTAAAAATCAAATTGAGAGTGTGTGTGAATAACAATACTACATGATGTGAAACTTGCCGTGCGAAACAAACTTGTTGTCGTATTAGTTACGGTTATTTCTCTGCTTTCCCTGACCAAAATATAGTGGCCAGAGGTGTGCTGTTGGCTTGCGCCAACTTGTTTGAACTATGAGAACCTTAATTTCCATAAGCTTATTAATGCAAATGTGAGTTGGCAGAGTAATTACTGTGTCAACGACTTGAAACACCATTGTGCTCATTGTC